AGGTTTCCCTGCTGATGGCAGGGGGGTTGGAACTGGATGAGCTTTAAGGTCCCTTCCAACCCAAACCATTCTGTGATTCTATTTGTCTCCATTCTTGTCTCTTTTCCAAGACATGCTGGGTACACATAGTGGCTTGGAGACTGCAGTCACTATCACACAAGCAAAAAGGCTTTTCCAAAACACCCTCGGGGATAGCACCACCAAGGGAGACCTTCTGAGCCTGCACAGCCTCAATAGGCCTGAGAGAGCAGCAAAAACAAGGAAATTCTTCAGGAAGCCTGAAATGCCATTCTTAATCCATCCTGTTATGACTAGGCATTAGGGGAGTCTGAATGGCATGTTCATTGCAGGCATGTTGCAATAGGTAGGCACAATGCGTGACAAAGAGACTCATAACTGTCAAGGTGCCAGGGACACACTGTGGTACACAAAACCACAAGGAGGAGGAGGAGGAGGTCCAGGCATCCTGGTGCTCAGTTCTGATCTCTACAGATTTACTGACTATTACATAAAAAGCTTCGGTAAGAGAATATTAACATTGCAAAGTCAAGCGCTGCAGCGTTGGGAAATGTCTGCAAAGCTTCATACCCACCCTGGATGTTTGCGTTGTGATACACCCCCCAGTTACACAACCACATACCATCTTCCCTGAACAAACTCACACCGTTCTTTGTTCTGAGCTACCTCCTCCACCTTCTTTCCTCTACCTCAAGTCCTGCTCATCCGTGCTCCATTTCTATCCTCCCCCTTTTTCTTCTCTCCTGCCTCAGCAGCAGGGCACAGTGGAGACCATTACCCCACTGCCTCTGTGAGTAGGGAAAACACCTGAAAAAAACCCAAAACAAAACCCTTCCTCTGCTTGGGTTTGGCCAGTAAGGAGACATGTCAAGGATGGAGCACACTCAGTGCAGACCATCTTTCTTGACTTCATTTGCCAACTTTGAAAAGCCTCCACTGCACATCTCTTTGGAAAGGCAGGAGCACAGCACAGTTCCTCAATCATAAGAGGTTCAGAACTGACCTGCTCCCCTGCAAACACATCGCATTGCTCTAATTTTTTGAACCAAAGTTCAAAACAGCTACAAAGAGCATCTTAACAGCTCAAAGTGTCCAAGACCATTATTGAGGGCAAGTGTGCTGTAGAGAGTAATATTCCTGCAGCCTCTTACCTCGGCCTGCCACTGCAATCTGAAGGGGACAAGGTGACTGAACAAAACTCTCTTACCACCCTTCAAAGATTCACATGGGAGAGTGAACTGCTTGGAAATGATCGTGACAGACACTCCACAGCACCAAGTCTGCTCAACAGTCACAGCTGTGGACCTGCTGCCCATGCTCTATGGCAGCCAGTTGAGGAAGAAGCACCTTTTCCCTGCTCCTGATGGATGTTAGCAAGCTGCTAGAAGAAAAAAAAGCCTTCTTCAAGTGCTATTGACACCACCAGAGAAGTGACAATGGTGTAAGTATTTTTGCCTTCACATGGTAACACCAAGACAGGGTAGAAGTTTTGGGGCTGCACTATTCACTGGGGTCAGAAGTCTAATGAAGAAAGTTATTCCTTCTCCACTATCAGCCTGGCAAACATGTGGACACCAAACCATTTTCTGTGAGACCAAGAGCCTCCAAGCATCCAGTGGAAGCGTTTGCCATTTTATTGTCAGTGCTTCTTTTCCCACACGAGAGTTTCCTTTATCCCCCAACTATACCATCAAGGTGAATTCTGTCTTAAATTCTGAAACTAAAGAACAAACAACAAAACCTTTGCTCTGAGCCTCATAAAACATTGGCCAAGTTACAGCACCCAGACTAAGTTGTCATCGCTGAGATATCAGCTGCCAAATTCCCACCCCTCACGTGCAGGCAAAGTAAAACACACTCTGCATGGCCAGGGAGGAGCAGGTTTCTGTTGAGGGCTAGAGAAGCAGAGTCCTGCTCCCAGCCTGCTGTGAAGGCAGAGCCAGCCCTGGCACAGCACAGCTGAAACCAGAGCCAGTACCAGGAACTGCCACCCCACAGTGGTACTGACCAGCACAACCAAGTATGGTGGCATGTGGTGATGAGGAACTGAGAAGCACCACCAAACAACTCACCATTTGCTGTAGTAACTCCAACAGACCTAGGAGAAGGTGGCCAACCAGGGCAAAGGAACTCTCAGGAACTTGGTTTGCCAGAGGCCAGTGTGACATGGTCAAGTGTTATCAGCAGCCAAAGAGCTATTTAGGATGCTCCTCCCACCTCTCCTGTGAGGACAGGCTGAGAGAGTTGGGGCTGTTCAGCCTGGAAAAGAAAAGGCTCTGGGGAGATCTTATAACGGCCTTCCAATACCTGAAGGGGGCCTACAAGAAAGCTGGGGAGGGACTTTTCATAAGGGCAGTTAATGACAAAACAAGGGGAAATGGGTTTAAACTGGAAGAGGGGAGGTTTAGATTGGATATTACGAAGAAGTTCTTCACTGTGAGGGTGGTCAGACACTGGAACAGGTTGCTCAGAGAAGCTGTGGCTGCTCCTCCCTGGAAGTGTTGAAGGCCAGGCTGGATGAGGCTTTGAGCAACCGGGTCTAGTGGAAGGTGTCCCTGCTGCTGGCAGGGGGGTTGGGACTGGATGAGCTTTAAGGTCCCTTCCAATCCAAACCAGTCTGGGATTCTGTGATTCTCCCATGACTCTGAGCTTTCTAACTAATCCAGATCCAGGTCTAACCCTACTCAGTCACTCACAAAAACCTACTTAGAGCATTTTATTTATTTATTTATTTTTAGAGTGTGATATAAAGGGCTGGAAGAGGCTTTCAGCACCCGAGGTGCAGCCAACTTACATTCTTGCCTGCAACTATTCTATGCACCAAGGAGTCAGCCTCCTGTGCTGAGTATCCACGGGCAGAGGGCTCCACTGACTGGCCCCAAGGAAAGGTTTACAGTGACTCTCCTGCAAGCTAGAGGCTGAAAGTTATCCTTGAACTCGGGCAGGGACAAGTCTCAAGGAGGTAAGCTGCAAAACTGGCCTTTTAGTTCTGCAAAACAATTTTCTTTTAACCAAGTCATTAAGAAGCAGACTCAAAATACTCATGTGATGCTCTGTAACTGCTTGAGGAGACACTTAGCTCAGGGAACAATAACAACGTCATGGTTTCTGCTTAGTAAAATACAGTTGCATCAGAGTGAGCTTCAACTTCACTGTTTACACACCAGTACAATTAAACACAGTGGTGTCCAACCCAGTTAGTATAAAGAAATTACACATACTGTTTGTTTCTACCTTAATCTGCAATTGCCCCATGGATGCACAGATCCCCCATGGCAATAGGTCTCAGACTGCTTTAGTGCCATCCAAAAAGGTTTATTACCTTACACACTATTTGCACACATGCTGGAGGCTTGTACTGCCAAGCAAGTTTGCCCCTCTCTCCAGGAGAGTCTACACAGTTTAGTACCAGAAAATACATTGCCCCTGTTCAACCAGTATCACTCCTACTAGGAAAGGATCCCCAAGGCAGCTACCTGGCTGGAAACCAGGCCTCAAAAGTGAAAGACAAGCTCAGATACCAAGGTACTACTATAGAGGTACTATAGAGGCAGAAATACCCACACTGCCTGTCACTTACTGCACATAGCAACGAGCAGGCAAAGCCCTGGTACAGCAGAGAAACTGTGAATCACCTTCCCATGACATACTGCAAAGTCTTGGGCCAGCTCTTTCCCATAGATCAGGCCAGTTGGCCCATATGGGATGAGCTGTTTTGGACAAAAAGTGTCACATCTGATTATTCCTCACCTCAGACTGTTACCAAACCCAAGCAGTTATGTCCCAGGCTAATCTACAGCAGACCAGGGCCAGGGACTACTAAAGTTCTTAAGAGGTACTGGTTTGGTTTTAACTGAGAGTTGCCACATTTGTGCAGGAGCCCAGAACCCATGACACCAGTGGGAAAAGCAGCATGTGTGTATCACATCTCTAACAGCAAGTGGGCAGTGTTTGCATGACTGACCTTAAATCCCTCCAAGCACTCAGGTTATTTGTTGATTGTGTTCAAAAAAAGGGCAAGTTTCAGTTCAGTGTCTCCAACGGGCTGCCACGCAGCTTGTGTATAAACCACTCCCAACACGAGGCCCAGGTTCTGTCAGGGATGTGCATACACCACCACTGCTATTTCCTCAGACTGGCTGTTTCCTTCCAGTCTATAACATGAGAAGGATGCTGAGCTTCATTCCTCTGACAGTGCTCGACAGGAAGATGCTACCAGGGAACATGACTCTGGTGAATTGGACAGGATTGATCCCACCCAGCCTATGTAATCCTTGAGTAGCAACATCTAATGTCCCAGACCTCCAGCTCACAGACTGGCCAGATGTATGTTGTTGTTAAAAGCCAGTTTTTCCTCTGTGTGCTTCCCTACAAAAGGGAGTCTCTTGGAAACTCTTTTGTACTGACTTTCCAACAACACTTACCTTGTCTCCTTCCTCAATGTCACAAATTTTCTCCAGTGTTGAAGGGTTGTACGTGGGGAACTTCTTTCCACTTGTAGACTCATGCCATTCATTGTTAATAAATATCTGAAGAGAAAACAAGGGGAGTAGAATAGGGAGGAGAAAGGAAAAACCTAATAAAGACAATGTAAAAAGACACAAGTACTCCTGAAAGGTCCCAAGGGTCTTGAGTGTCCACTGATGGCAGAGTCAAGCAGGTTCAGTCTCTCTCCCAGGGAGACTGTGATACATACAACATTTATCCCAACCAGAACCTGAGCCAGAGAACAGATCAAACAGCCTCCGCACACCCAGTTAGTTTTGAGCAAGAGGCAGACAGAGGATGGGGCCCACACAGTATAACACCATCATTTGGCAATGAGAAACAGACAGTTTTTGAAATACATCTCCATGGGAACAGCAAGCAGACACCAAGACACCAACAACTCGTATGGTTGAGGCAAAAGGAGCCCCTTGTTACAAGCTCCGAATGAAATGTCAGCGTTCAATATGTGGTGGTTGTTTGTATCCTGCCCTGGGCTACTTCCACCACTCGTCCTCCTCCAAAGCACTGTCCAGAGGAGGGTAAATACTGGCTCAGTTCTACCCCACCATGCCTTGTCACAGTCTAGATCAAGCCTCCCACGTCACTTGGAGTTGTCTATGACAAGATTTAAGTGTTTCAAAATATTGCATTTCCAGAGCAAGAACAAACAGTCCCAGTGTTGCGTAACTGGAAATGCATTAAATACGAGAGTGTTGTTACTCACTGTAAACAGAACATGAATACCTATATACAAGTAATTGATTCAACATGCATCTTATCCATGCTGTGATCTAACTTGGCAGTGTTAGATTTTTATAAATATACTTTCAGTAAGATTAGATGAAGTAATCTTTATTAGTAGCCTGTTAGTGGCTGTAAGCTAGTACTTTTACTTGGAAGTCATCCACGTTTGCAATCTTGTTTATGAGTCTCTACACACCACCAGGAGATTAATGTTGCATCCCTTAACATTCGGAATTCCCACTGCTTTGGGTCATAGTTTTCTTTCCTTGGGCAGTTGTTTTTTTTTTTCCTGAAAGGAGTTTCTCCTGACTATTTCTGCAAAAAGCATCTGAGATGTAACCAAGGTGGCCTGTTGGACCCACCTGTTTCAGACATGCAGAGAAAAAGAAAGTTTTGGTAAAAAAGTTGTCAAGTGAATTCACAAGAAGAGACCCAATGTTAGAAATATTAACTTGACTCTAATGCTCCCAAACCACCTCTATTATCCAAGTGCTGCATTTTAACATTTAGACATTTTAACTTCAGTTTTCCTTCTGAGGAAGAAAGTCATATTAGAAATGTAGGAGATATGACAGGAACTGTGAAGTTACAGCATCAGGTATATGCTCACAAACTAAGGATTGGGGAAGGTATAATTTTTCCTCCACAATTAACATTAATTCTGTGTGAAAGGGCTGGGATGGGAAAGTGATGTTCCTGTAAGAAGTAGTAAAACACAAGAGTGACAGGATCAGGCTGTCGTAAATATAGGATATATGTTGGCATCATTCTGGGAATCACACCACATAGCCCAGGTCTTTGGTGCCAGGAGTTTAAATCAGAATAGCGTATCAGTCGTTCATGCTTCATACCCAGGATTTGAGACATGGAATTGTGGACAGATCACTTTCATCACACATCCATGACAAGCATTAAGCTGCTCTATAAGTAAGATCTTTGTTGAAAATTTTTCCCCTCCCTCAGCCCTGTAACTGGTAGAACCACAAATAAAAATCTCCGCTAAGCAAAGTGTGCCGTCAGCTGTAAACATCTGGTGAGACTCTGAGCTTTTTAGAAAAGCCCTCGCAGTTTTATGAAAACTGACTGCTGTTCATTATTGTCTCAGATGCACCAGGAGCATCAGATCAAATGTCAAATTCACACTTTTAATTAACATTAGTTTCCGCTGTTGAGAGGCTACCTTGATACCTTTAGTGCAGAGTCTCTGGCAAAACTCTGGAGAATAAAAACTGAGTGTTTTAAAACATACATGGCTGCAGGATCAGATCCCTAAGGAGTATTTTAAAGCGTTCATAACAATAAAAAAATAACAAAAACCAGAACATTTGGATGTTTCAGAAAAACTCTAGTGGCCGTGTCCATTTTGGATGCAGGAAATAGCTGTTTGTGCAGCATTACGCCATTCTGCAATCAGCAGCTGCAGATCCAATTCGCTGCTACACGACAAGTTTATCTTACCAAAAAAAAAAAAGTAAGTAGATAAATTTGGGATGTTAAAAATTAATTTAGTCCAGTGATTACCACTAATTGCTAATCTGTTTCAGTACTCTGGATGCATAATTCAAATCAACACCTCACAGGATAAGCTATCGCTGTTTATTCCTTCACACTGCAAGAGAAGGAACTTCAAGTTCTGATCTTTTTTTTTTTCTTTTAAATACTTAATACAGAAACATAACAGTAATTAATACACTCATTCAGACCCTCCAGCTCTTTTAGTCCAGCTACATAATTCAAATGATGGCTGCCTAGCAGCGTAACCAGCCGGGATGTTTTCCCCACTGCGCAGGACAGCGGGTTAGGTTGTTGTGGAATAAAAAGCGACGCAGCTATCGCAGAGCTGGGAATGTGTTCGGGAGCAGAGATTTCTGCAGCGGTGCTCAGCTCCGCACCAACACCAGCCTCACCTCTGAGGGACAGAGTTATCAAGCTCAGGAGCCTGCTGTTAAATCTGAAAGGTCAGGAGCAACTATTTAAAAGGAAGATGGATGGAGAGCAGAGAGATGTGTGTTTGTGTGGGCTTGCTGCCTGATTCCTCATCCCATGGGAAGGCCATGGAGGAGCTCTGTTGGGACAGCAAGCCACCAACAAGAGGGTGTGAACACCCCTTCTCTTCAGGAGCTGCAGGGTGGCCACAGTCCCATCACAGAACCCATTCACAAGGCTCAGTTCTGCAGGACACAGTCCCTCCTCCATGTTCTTTGCATTCACCAGGACCCCAACCCACCCTCTGGCACCAAACCCCCTCCTGGCAGGACCCCATCCCACCACAGGGAGCTTCACAGCAGGTCAAGGACAGCTGAACCCAACCCAACCAAGCAGTCTCCTCACAGATAAACCCCTTCTCACCCCATCAAAACGCAGTTTCACTGAGCACTAACCTGGCACTAGAAGCATTGACCAGGTGGGTGTGTGGGAGCTGCACAGGGTGCTTGTGAAGATGGCCATCAGGGTGACAGGGAGGGGAC